ACACACCAGTTCTTGGTTTGTTGGGCACGAGAGATGCGCCGTCGCACGATATGCCGCCCCCCACCCCCCTAGGTGTGTCGGGGCGTCATATCTACATGTGACCTTCAGCCGCCGCGCGGCGAGACCCTAAACCCTAAACCCTAAACCCCTAAACCCTAAAACCTCTAAAACCTAAACCCTGAACCCCCAAGGGCTGCACCCATCGCTTGGGCAGCGCTGCCATGCCTGAGCTTTGCGGTTTAGGGTTTAGGGTTTAGGGTTTAGGGTTTAGGGTTTAGGGTTTAAGGTTAAGGGTTTAGGGTTTCGGTTTAGGAGATGGGGTTTAGGATTTGCTGTCCAGGGTTTAGAGTTTAGGATTTACAGTTTGGGGTTTAGGGCTTGGGTTTAGGGTTTATTGCCATTACTTTAGGTTTGGGGGCGGCGGCGGGGGCGGGTGGATTTTGAGTTGAGAGTTTTGAAGTTTTAGAATTAAGGAAGTTTGGGAACCCTAAATAATGGTAGGCTTATATGGGTTTATGGGTTTTGGGGTTTAGGGTCTGCGTTTTAAAGCTTCAGTTTAGGGTTTGGGGTTTAGGGCTTGGGGCTTGGGGTTAATAGAGTTTGCGGCTCAGGTTTGGCAACTTACGGCTTCAGGCTTTTAGGGCTTTAGGATTGGGTGCTGCCGGTTCAAGATCTTTGTTGGGGTAGTTTAAGACGCATGGTTCAGGGCTTTGAGTTTGGGATGCCGAGTTTCGGACTTAGGGGTTTGGGGGTTTAGGGCTACTTATGGTCCGTTTAAGGCTCAAAAGTTCAGGACTTTAGTGCTTGTGTTGTTTTAAACTTTCATGGAGGAGTAATGGTTCTCTCAGGCATTGTCAAGTTGTTGTGCTTAGTGTTTGTGCTTAGGGTTCAGGATTTGCAGCTTGTCGGATCATGGGTCCTGCTTGCAGAGCTCCTTCGATTCGTAGGGTCGAAGGTATTTAGGAGCCTGTTCTTGGAAGAGCCGTTACTATAGAACTCATTCTAGAAGTCTCCATTTTCTTCTCCAATCCTTCCAAACACTAAACGCTAAACCCTGAATAGTAGTTCACGCTGAGTTTACAGGTCAGGGTTGGTTCGGACCCTACACCCTAAACCTTAAATCCTAAACCCTCAGCCTTAGCATTACAAGTTGAGGTTGTGGGATTAAGAAATTTTGGGCGCCGGCTCCATGCTTGGAAGGTTTCAGGATAAAACGAGTTAGCTTCTTGGGAAGAGGGGTCTGGGATTTAGGGTTTAAGGTTTAGGGCTTAGGGTCCTAAACGTTTCGGGCATAAGGGTTTTGTGCAAGGCTAGGAGCCAAGCCTTTAATCCTAGGTTTAGGGTTTAGGGTTTAGGGGCTGGTTGGATTTGGGGGCGAACCCTAAACCCTAAACCCTAAACCCTGTAATATCGGGGTTTCTCGATATGCGGGGCCTCAGAGATCCCGAGGGCTATATGAGCCATAGCCTGAACGCCTAGTATATTCTAATAATCAAGGGTTTACGGTTTAGGATTTACGGTTTAGAGTTTACGGTTTAGGATTTGGGGTTTAGGGCTTAGGATTTAGGGTCTAGGATTTAGGGTTTAAGGTTCCAACTCCTAGTATCCCCCCCTAATAACCTCTGAAATAATCCTCTATATAATCCCCTATATAACCCTCCCGTAAGGAGTTTAGACAATGGCTCACATAAGGAGTATCTAGATTATGGTGGGGACCGTATAAGGGATCCTATCGAAATTGTTTTGAGAAATCCTCATATCTCTTAATGGCACTGTGGACCTGCTGAGAAAAGGAACCCATTAGTAGAATCACCAACTACAGTGAGAGGTAGTCACAGCCTTTGTTGGAGTGCTGATAACCCTGCTTCACTGGTTTGCTGTTAAAGAACATAAACTAAGTTACTATACTAATGAAACCCTCATTTACTGTATACCCATATGATGGTAATCTAAATACAATTCCTTAACAGCACCCCAGTTCAAAGTATGTCTATCTACTCCGGCATGCCGTCTCCAAGACGGCTCCAGGTAACAAATTGCCTCTGTACCCAGGTTCCATGTTCTGTCCATGTTCTTTTCTTTTTGATGCTCCATTGTGGCAAGCGTGAACCCTATATATCCATGTTCTTATGTAACCCTTTGTATATTCATACATGTATCCCTGTTCGTACAATGTTTCCCAAATACTTAATGGACATGGGTTCCGTTTGTATTAGAGACCGCACTAAACTACCTCAAAGACCCATATGTCCGCCCTTCATGGTCCCCTGTTAACCCTAATATTGAAAGTAGTTCCTATAAACCTACCTAAACCCTAAGCCCTAAACCCTAAACCCTCAGCCCTAAACCTCAAATCAAACCCTAAGCCCTAAGCCCTAAACCCTAAACCCTAAGCCCTAAACCCTAAGCCCTAAACCCTAAACCCTTCACTCGTAAAACCCTGGATACCTTCGAGTCTCCAAGTCTCCGGCTTCTCCGGTGCCCGAGGAGGGGATTGGCAGTGCAAGGGGGTTTGGGATCTCCCTTGGCAAAGTTTGAGCCCGGTTGAGGGTCATATTGGGATATTGGGGTTATGCTAGGGGTATATTGGGATAGGGATATTGGGGTTAAAATAGGAGTATATTGGGACAGGGATATTGGGGTTATATTAGGGGTATATTGGGATAGTGGGGTTATATAGGGGTATATTGGGATAGAGATATTGGGGTTATATTAGGGGTATCTTGGGAAAATGGAAAATCAAATGGAAACTACTATTTAGGGTTTAGGGTTCAGGGTTTAGGGGCTTAGGGTTTAGGGTTTAGGGTCATGTCCTGCCATAATGACAACAAGAGCCACTGGTACTACACAATCGGGGAAAAGGATTTCCCACGACATTTAGTACCTGAAGGGGAAGTTTTCCCCAATTGCTTAGTGCCCCTGACCACAAGAGAGCTTATGCCTTGCTGTTCTTCCCCGATCCCGATTCCTAGAACGAGCATACAAGCCCTAGACCTCAAACCCTACACCCAAAACCCAAACCCTATACCATACACGTCGGTGCCCCAAAATTGCCCTCGATGCTATGATGCCATGCCATGGCAATGCAGTACTCATTAGGCCCCCCTTTACATGGATACATAGGGACATACATCTGTCAATATACATATGGTGTTTAGTGTTTAGGGTCCCAAGTACACCATAACTGGCACCAAATCTGCTGCAACTTTTTGCTCGCTGCTCTTCAGAAAATTGCTAGCCACCGTGGATGGAGGAAAAACTTGCACCTCCCCATATACCCTGGAAACTACTGCTGAGGGCTTGTGACTTGGGGATTACATTCTCATGAGGCTCCATCCACCGCATCTTTGTTACGTTAAGCGATACAGCCGCTTTATCAGCGCTTTGAAGCTGCAGCAGCGCTACTGCAACCTCCAGAAATCTGCCATGTGCCAGTGAGACTGTAGGATGGCAGAGGCACTCACCCCGAAGAGATACCACACCCTAAGCCCTACTTTCAGGGTCAGGGGGGCTAGAAATGGGGCTAACTAACTGGGGTTACTATATAGGTGGTAGGGGCTATAAGTATCCTTATTCAGTCCCCTGACCCTCCAAGTAGTCTTTGAAAATGGTGCTGGGTTTACGGGCTTTTTCAGGGACTCAGTCGCGTTGGGTCACGCGTGAACATGACTGCCTTCCGGATGTTATCCAGGCCCAGATACCTGGCGAAAAGAGCTTAGGGCTTTGAATGAAGGATGGTCAGAGGTGCGCACCACACGTCACGTATACGTTTTACAGCTTGCTAGTACGTTATACTATGGTTTTCCATATCATACCACACATGACTGTACATGGTTATCTGCTTGAAGTGCAAGAAGCTCCATATGCTTTCAGGGACGGGGAGAATATTCCAAAAAGCAGTTGACACTAAACTAAATCTCATACCCTCCAAAAGGCATTACAATGATCATGAATCTGCAAGGCTATAGTATAACAAGATCCCCATATACCCCGGGGGACTATAACTTCATGATTCACCTACTTGCCATGTACCCCCAGCCCCTCCCAGCATAAGAAGCTTCCCACTTGGAGCGTCCCTGGACCCTAAACCCTAGGGTTTAGGTCCTATAAACCCTAAATCCTGAATCTTAAACCCTAGACTCTGAACCTTACACCATACCACCCTGAACCTTAAAGTCTAAATGCTAAACTGAAAAGCTCAGAGCCCAACTCAAAATCCTGAGCCCCCAACCCTAAGCTCTTCAACAGGAGAAGTAAGCCCTACCCAGACCCCTGGGAGGATCTAAAAATTAGATCCCCTATATAGACCCATTATAGCCCCTATATAATCCTTATATAATTCCCCCTATGGCTCTAGGGGATCTAATTTTTAGATCCTTTTGGGGGTCTGGGTAAGCCTTTTGGCCCCTGAGAGAGCTTTGGGAGGTGTCAGGGAGCGCTGAACCCTACGGTACACGGTTTAGGGTTTAGGGTTTAGGGTTTAGGGTTTAGGGTTAGGGCCTAACAAAGGTTGAGGGTTTCAGGGCTTAGGGCTTCGGGTTTAAGGTTTAGGGAATACTTGAAGTTTCCTGGGAATTAGTAACTACTCATAACTGGGATTAAAACCTACTTATAGTTGGGCTAAAAATCTGTATCAGTTCAGTTTGGGGGATTATGCGCAGGGTCATAAGCACACTTCCAAGTGGCTACACAGCCCCTTGAACCTTCAAGTCGGCCCCAAACCCTTAGCCCGAAACCCTAAACCCTAAATCCTAAACCTTAAATCCTAAAACCCTAAACCCCAAACCCTAAGTCCTAAAACCCTAAATCCCAAACCCTAAATCCTAAACCCTAAATCCTAAACCCTAAAACCCTGCGCAGTAGCTGACAGGAGGAAGTACCAAGGCCCAGACAGTTGGACGATGCGTTCCAAGCCCAGCCCCACACCGCCGTGTGGTGGCACCTGACTTTGAGCTTGGGTGCCCAGTCAATTTAGGGCTTAGGGTTTAGGA